GGGGAGGACGGGGGCTGGGCCGGGGCTGGGGAGGGGCGGGGCCTGGTGGGGCAGGGAGCGGGAGCCGGCTGGACGCCCTCGGGGTCCGCTGGCGCCGCTGAGTCCACAGAGCCGCAGGGGCAGGCACGGCTGGGCAGAAGCCAAAGACCCCGACCTGGGGCCCTGGGCATGGGTTGACTTCCGGGGGACCCACATGGCGATGTCTAACGCGCACATTTCATTGTTCTTTTAGTTAGCTTCCTTTCCTCCGTACATTTTAGGTATACATAATGACCACATTCACCCAGGGAACTTGCACCTGAGCATGATATAGCTGGATTCTTCTTTTCTGCCAATGCCCTCCCTTCCCTTCAACCCCGGTTCCCCTCCTTATTTACCAAAGCTTTGTTTCCATTTTTTCCTTCTATTCTCTCTTTTTCTTTTCCCTTTGTTCCTTTTCCCTCCCCACTCCCTCATGCCACATTTGGGAACACTCACATTTTAATGAATTTGTTAAAAATAATGGTTTTTCCCCCCACAGGTGCTCAAAGCATGTGCAGTAAATCATTTATACTGTCATTTCTTGAAGTTCAGCAAAAGTGGACAATCGCATTATTGTTTGGTGATTTTAATGAACTAGGATGTGACATTTGTTCCATCAATGACTGGGACGAAGGCAGTGAAACCATCTGGATAAACAGATCCTGGGTGGCTTTGGACAGAGCCGCCCAGCCTGGCTGTGGCATCTCAGGCCTCCTCTGTCCAGGGTTTAGCCCACCCGGGTGTGTCTGTCTTCTTCTGCAGCGTTCCCTGGGGGAGTCCTTATGTTCAGGCCAGGCAAGAGCCCCCGTAATTACCAGGCAAGGAAGGCAACAAAATCATCTGAAAGGGGCACATAGCAAAGCACAGAAAACAGAAATGCAAATGGATGTAGACTTCAGACTCCCAAGAACAGCGCTGTTAAAGCAGAACTTCACAGAAAAGCAGTTCTCCTAGCTGAAAGCAGCCTAGCAGCTCCCCACTCAGGCTCCACTCCCCACCTTTCCTGTAACTACTGACCTCCCACTGGTACTGACAAGGTAGACAGTCATACTCCTGTAAATAAAGTTTTGTGACCCCCAAGGAACCATATGCTCTGCAAACAACTATGTTCTATAAACAAAATTTATGACGTGCTACTCCCATATGATTCCTAAGACTCTGTGGACCTTCAAGGCTAAATTACTAACCTGCCTGCCCTGTCCTGGTCTGGTAAACTCCCTCCGACTAAATGTTTAAAAGCTGAAACTTTTCTTTGTTCAATCACTCAGCCTTGGGACACCAGTCTGTTGAGCCCTGTTCTCCTTAATAAATCCTACTGATTCTCATTTGGTCTCTCCTGTCCCTTGGAATTCTGCAACACTGTGAGGTGGGCATTCAAAGTGAAGGAATTCAAAAAGAATGACAGAAATCCTGTCTCCCCAGTTCCCTGTCCTTTTCCCACTGAAAGGTCCCTTAAAGCATCCAGCATCTTGGCCTTTTTCTTGTTCTTGTGTCACCCTCCCCCACCCATATAACAAGCAGCTATAGTGGCCTAGCAAATCTCTGCTCAATAAATACCTCTGCAGTGAATGAATGAGAAAACAAAAGTCCAGAAAGAGAAGATTTTGAGCCTTAGAGATTCTGCTAAGCTAAGGAAACAGAACTCTTTTGCTAAGAGTTCGGCTGCTATTAGAGATGACTCCTCTGTACATATTTTTTAATGGAGGAAGCTATGTTACTCCTCTAGACACAACACCATCTGACTCGTGTAACACCTTGCAAGCAAGTGCTTGAACTAGCAGCACTGTCAAACACAATGCGAAGGATCACACTGATGGTGGCAAAGTTATCAAGCAATTTGAAAACATTCCTTTATTTTTCATTTGTCCCTGAGTGCATCAAACTTCTTATGAACTGCAGTGGTGCCCCAATTGCCTGGGAGCTCTGGTAGCTCACAGCACCAGATTCACAGCAAGCAAGCATCTACAAATGCAATTTAACCAAATCCCAAGAAACTTCCTCAGCAAAACTGACACCCAGCAGATCAAATAAAGCCACTGCTGGTGCTCTCTGAAGGCGGAGGTGCTGGGGCTGCTGTTCTGTCAGATCTTCTGTACAGCAGGCAGCATTAGGAGACTGCTCCTTGGTGTCAGGGAGCTGTGCCATCAACACGAATGTGATTAGTTCAGTGTTTCCCTTTATGTAATCTCATCACTGAACAGCGCTTGAACTGTGGGCAGCTCCAGGCCACCTGCCCTGCATCAGCCCGGGAGGGCCCCACACAGCACCTGAGAGACCCGGTGGTCAGGAAAGGCTCCTGGCCCTCAGGTCACGTCTTCCACACAGGACAGCCTTGTGCTCCGGTCCCTTGGGCTTCAGTCCAATTAGCGTTGATGAAATACGATCAAGAGGAACCAACCAAGACAGAGGAGCTGTCCTCTGGCAATAGGAACAGACACACGCACTTCAAACCAGGTGATGATGGCAGGATGTGCGGCAATTTGTAGGGCTCAGAACTCAACGTGTGCTAATTCTTCCGTGTGAAGTTCCAAAGAGGCTAAGGCCTGCTCAGGATTCTGCAGGTCAGAATCGGTCAGAAAAAAGCTGTGAGTTGGAAATCATGTATCCCACGAGCTAGAGAGAAGGTTGTGCTGTCACTAGACCATGATTTTAGACTGGAATGTGAAGAGTCATGCTGGATCCCACGGTACCCCTGCGCCCCACGTCTCTGAAACTAAAAGCTAGATTTGACGTAGAACTGGATCCTCAGGCGCACGTGCCACATCAGGAATCCCGCAGCCAGTGTGGCCCTGGGCAGTGGCCATGTGGAGATTGTGCATCAGCGTCGCAGGACGGCTCTGCAGACCCTGCTTGTGGGTGCTGCAGTCCCAGTTTCAGACTTGACAAACGATTATTTCTTCCCACCCAGTATTCTTGACCTCTTTGCTGAATTTCTTTTTTAATGATACTAAAATACTGTAAACATCACAGAAACTTCTTGACTTTTGTTTTCTCCTAGAACAGTCCCATGCTCCTGCTCATAGATTGCACATTCTCCATTAGTTAATTCCTTATGTATGTTGATATATTGGGTTAAGCAAAGTAACACCAACTGAGTGGCTTACTCCTTACTGCCACACACGTCTACAGTCTCACGCGTCTGGCAGCCAGAAGCCCATGCTGCAGTGTTAGCTGCGCCTCTTCCCTCCGAGACTGTAGGGAAGACCTCTGCCTATGGCTTGTGACCCACCTGCCCCTCCTGGGAGTCTAAAAGCCCCAGGCACTCTCCAGCGCCTGGTCACCGACCCGCTCCCCAGCAGGTGTGTCTCTTCAACTCTCACCATGGGAACCCCGCCAGGCCCCTGGGTTAAGAGCCTTTCCTCTGGGAAGGACACCAGCAGGCGTGATGACCCTATTTCCAAGTAAGGTTCCATTCTGAGGTCCTGAGGACTAGGACTTCAACATGCCTTCTTGGAGGCAGAAAAAAATGAGTCCATAACAGGTGCTTACAAAATTCCCCATAGACTTCCACACTTACGGGTTTTTAATATAATTTGTCATAAATATGCATACATTTATAAAATTGACAATAATATAAATATGGTACTCTGTGTCAATAAAGATACACATTTTTTAAACGTTTTACAGGTCATATGAATTGGTTGTGGGTTCACGGGAAGTTGCAAAATACATATGGTAAAG